ACCGTCTTCCTGGACAACAGAGCAAAAGACGCCTGGCATAAAGGGTCATACAGGGGATCTCGCAAGTGTTGGAGGACAATGTTGAGGTCCCAAGCTGGTGGACGAAACTTCACTTTCTGGTCCTCAAGTTTGAAAGCTTTCAACATAGCCTGCAACTCGGGGATCTTGGATACTCGCACCTCCGTTTTTACTGCCAGAACAGAGTTGATGGCCGAGAGGTAAGTCGCGATGGTGCCTCCTTTGAGATGACGAGAAATCCGGAGATGAAGGAGGAAGTCCACCAAAAATTGAGGGGAGGCCGTCAACGGTCGCACAGAACGAGAGGAACAGAACCGTTCAAAGGTAACCCATTTGTCATCATAAAGACCCCTCGTTGAAACTCGATGAGCCCTCGAGATGATTCTGGACGCACCGTCCGAATAACCTTTTGCCCTCAAGGTCCTCTGTAAATGACCCAAACGCAGAGATTGAACCTCTCTGGGTCTGGGTGAAGTTGTCTGCTGTGAGGGTGAAGCAAAAGATTTCTCCGGCCGGGCAGACAAACTGGTTTCGCGTTGGCGAGACGCCTTAGCTCGGGGAACCAACCTCTCGCCGGCCACCAAGGCGCGACCAAAAGCAGTTTCAGACGAGTAGTTTGTCTTATTTTCGCGACGACTTCCGGCAGAAGCACTGGAGGCGGGAAGGCGTAGGCGTCGAGACTTTCCCAAGACAGAGACAGAGCGTCTACTGCCCATGTGGCTGGATCCGGGATTGGGACACATAAACAGGAAGCTGATTGTTCAGGTTTGTGGCAAACAAGTCTAACATGGGCCTGTACTGGGACTGGCAAACGAGATCGAACGCCTCGGGATGAAGCATCCATTCGGTGGGTGATGTTTTGCCGGGCCTGGATAGTGCGTCTGCCAGGACATTTTTGCAACCGGGAATGTGTCTTGCTCAAACTGTGATGAGAGCCCGATCCAGAATCTCGAATAGCTGGAACGACTGATTGAGAAGACGTCGGGAACCCGTCGTCCCCTGATTGCGTATCATCCAAACCGCTGTTGTGTTGTCCGATACAATGAGTAAGTTGGCTCCAGTGAGGCGATCTCGACCAATAAGATACTGCCAGGATCACAGCTTGAAATTCCAAGCTGTTGATGTGCCAGGACTGATGTTCTGTTGACCACAGTCCCGACACCGTGTGGCCGTCCAGGTGTGCTCCCCACCCCTGTAGTGAGGCGTCCACAAAGAGTTCCTGGTTTGGGGAGAATTCGCTCAAACAAGACTCCGTCGCAGACGTTCGATGGGTGAGTCCACCAACGAAGGTACTGGTGCAGATGCCACGGCAGTGGAATGCTGGACCTGAGATCGTCGGCTTCTATGAACGGTTTCAAAAACCTCTGAATAGGCCGAAGCATGAGCCTCCCCCTGCTCGTGAGGTCCTGTGCCGATGTCAATAGACCTAGAACGGCCTGCCAATCCCTCAACCTGAGAGCCTGGGTCAACCCCTTGTGGACGCAGGCCAAGATCTTCACCCACCTGTCGGATGGGATTCTGAGTTTGTCTTGATCGGTGAGGAAAAGTCCTCCTATGAAGGTGAGTCTCTGAGACGGCTCCAGATACGACTTCTCCCAATTTATCAACCAACCAAGTTGAAGGAATAATCGGAGAGCGTATTCCTTCTGTCTGACAAGCCTTTGACGATCCCAGTTGTTCATTAGACAATCATCTATGTAAGGGCTGAACTCTATCCCTCGTAGATGAAGGAACCGTGTAATCAGCACCGTGATGCGTGTGAACAGCCACGGGGCCGAAGAAATTCCAAACGGGAGTACTCGCCATTGGAAATGCTGGCCGTTGAAGTGAAACCAGAGGTACTTCCTGTTGGGCTTGAAAATAGGAATGTGCAGGTACGCATCCTGTATATCCAGGCTGATAAGCGAGTCCCCTGGAGAGATCTTGGTCTGAAGTTGGTCCAACGAAACCAGTCGAAAATGAGGAGGATCCAATAGGTAACGGTCGTTGAACACCGCCATATTGTGAATCATTTGCATTTTGTTGGTGTTTTTCTTTGGGATCAGGAAGATCGACGAGTAAAACCCGAGGTTGTTGTTTGGTTCCTGTACCAGTTCGATGGCCCTTTTGTCAAGCAAAATCTGAATGTTTTCTGCTATTTGCTGATGTTGGGCCTCAGAATAAACGCTTGACCGAGGTAGGTTGGTCAGAGGCGGATGACTGCATAAGGGAAGTTGGTACCCCCTTTTCAGAATGTTGACCACGAAGGGATCCTCCAGGAATGTCCAGTTGGGCCAAAAGATCCCCAACCTTCCGCCTACAGGTGTGGCATGGATCTGGACGACTGAGGGGCGGAAGGTCCCAGTCGTGGAAGTCCGATGCCTCAGCGGCGTTGATATTGTGGTTTGGTGACGGCAAGGGGCTTACCTCTCTTGCCTGGGGCACCACCGGTGGGTCGTCCCTTGGTTTGCCTGAACTTGCCAGCCCGGCGGACACAGGTGCGCTTGCCAACATAGGAGTTGGCCTTGGGCACTGGATTTGTCTTACAAACGGCTCGAAAAGACTTGAGGGCTATCTCCATGGTTGTAAAGGACGAATGTTCCTTATAGATCCCCCTTATGGCATTATTGAACAGGCACCGAGCAGAAAAAGGCTGACGAAGCAACTTTCTTGTGAACTTCGGTTCCCAAGCACATGCCGAGAGAAAACCAGATCGTCGCACTGCCGTGGTATTAGCCAACGCAACTCGAACATGACCAACAATGTCCCCCAAAGTGCGAGATTGCCAACGCATCATTGTCGTGAGATGGTCAATCCTTGAACCATTATCTTCCTCCAAATCCTGAGAAATGGCCTCCGTAGCCGAAGCCAGGGCAGACAAGGGACGTAGCATTCTTTTCAATTCCGTATCAATAGCAGCCAACTTGGAGTCAGGAACCCTATACGAGGAGATAGGAGTAGACGAAAGGCGATCCAACTCCTGATCGTGAACTGCGGCCTGGTCAGAGAAATCCAAGGAGTGAATAGGATAATCACCCCTATGCGCTTTAGCCGCCCTGAAGTTATGATTCAGAGACAACTTAGCAAATTCCTCATCTAGAGAATCAACCAAGTCCCGGACAATAGGGTGAGGCGGAAGACGAAGATCGGGTGAGTCCCATATAGTGAGCTTCTTATCCACCCCTGCAGCTGGAAAAGGGCAAGAAGTCTGAAGTATATCCACCATCCAATCAAACACTGCCTCAATGCCTAAATGAGTGTCGGAATGAAGTTGGTCCAACATCTCCGGACCCTCCAAAGATTCGTCATAATCTGGTCGGAAATCTTGCTCGGAGCAAGGTGAACAAAGAGGAGACCTACTTCTGTCAGAACGGGTAGAGCCCTTATTGTCCCTCTTGGACGACCGTGAAGACCGATCCAAAGTAGTTGAAGGAGGTGGAGGAAGTGGAGTAGACCTACTACAACCGGTGTTGCAGGGCGAGACTCTTGAGGGGATGATGAAGGCAAAACAGCAGGGGGGGGGGGGGCTGGTGGTCCCATTTGGGAGTGTTGCTGCGACTGTTGAAACATCGAGTTCATAAAATTATAGATGACACTCGGGTCAAAACCCTGAATAGGAGGGGCACCAAAATTCTGCGGTATACCAAAATTCTGGAACATAGGTGGATAATTCCCCACCTGTTGAGTCACACCTGCCTGATAAAAAACCTCTCTGGTTCGGTAAACCACTGCCCTGTGGAGTAGAGAACTGTTGCGGTACGCCAAGCATAGGCTGCGTTGTTGTGGTGCGCCAGTCTGAAGAGGTGCGCCAATGCCAGTTGATATGCCACCGGTGATAGGTACACTCGGTCCAACAGGTATAGCTTGTCCCATCAGTGCGCCCTGTCCAACAGGTGCGCCGTTGAGAGAAGGGTCCAACCCCAAAGGGAACACTGACTAAACCTCGGTTGACACATGAAGCGCCGTATTCACAGGTGATGAACTCAAAGGCGTACCGGTAGGTGCGTCAGACGAAACCGGGGTAGATGCGGGAACAGGCTGCTCCCCAAAGTCTTTCACAGGAGTAGACGACGTTCTCTTGCGTAGTCTCTGTTGCGTAAGTCTCTTCTTAGCTACACGCAGATAAGCCTTGAAGAAATCAAGGGACAGCTGATCGCACTCCCAACACCTGGAGTCCCATGTGCACTGAGAAGTGCAATTCAAACAGCGAGAGTGCGGGTCCCTGCACGACTTGAGACCGTTACACTTTGTGCAATGAGGCCGTGGCATACAGTGCTCTAAAACATAAGCAAAACAACAATTTATTGACAAGCGACAAGCGAAAACATGTACGAAAAGCCTGGGGCGGCAGAAACAAACACGTCGCAAACACTACCCCGCTCAAACCAGACAGTGAGACTAAACCGGCAAATCACGTGGGACCGCCATCTTGGCAGTAACAAAATGCACGCAGGTGAAGTGGAAAAGCAAAATAAACACCGCGAAAACTCCTACCCACCCTAGGAGGGATGAATGGGAGCCCGAAAAGAGATATCCAAGGACACAAGTCCCGGATACCCCAACACGAACCATGAACTCCACTCGTAGCGAGAGAGGAGAGAAAAACAAGCGAGCGAGAAAAACAACACAAGAACGAGGAACTCAACTCCGGTGAGTACGTCCTAAACAAAGTTAGCAAACTTAAAAGATACCAGAAGTATAGAAAATAAGAACTACAGGGGACAAAATACCCCCGCAGTCAAAACTACAAGTCTTAGGATCTCGATCCACGTCTGATTTGGTACACGAATAAGAAAGGAATGACTGGTTCACGTGGCCACGTGATAGACTGCTGTGACCTTGCCGGTCACCCGGATGTCTTCAATCGAGCCACCTTCGCGAGTTATAGGTTAGCAAGCTTTCGATCTCGACTTCTGCAGTCTGTTTTCGGAGAGTAAGGCAAGTATGCATATAAGGTGATAAGAGGTAAGTAAAGAATTCACTTATTCTAAAGCAAGCCTTACGGATCTGCTAGTAATGTTGGAAGAGCTGTTTCTTGGATCTTGGAGGGAGCATTGAAACCCATGTCATAAACACCCTTCAGTAATTCAGGTTTCCTGGAAGAAGAAAACAAATATTGGTACTGCTGCAAAAATAGAAACAACTTGTGTTCATTAGGAAGAGTACAACTTAGAGATAAACCAACCATACAACAGTCAAATGTGATGTAGTACCACTGTCAACTTAATACTTATTTCAGTTGGGAAACAAGTACTTTAGCCAGATGTTTCAAATGTGCAATTCAGAGGTATGTACACTTCAGTGTAGACTAATGCTTAGTCTCTGAATATATATAATTTTGATAGTAACAAACAAGCCCATTTAAATTGAAAAGGAGCCCCAGGGAGACCAGAGATTCAGAACCTGAGGAAATCTAGACTTGCTTTATTGAGAGCTTTGGCACTGTAGAGAGGCTTGGCAATAGGGAAAATAATGTGGTTCATGGACTGTGAGACAGACTAACTTCAGTGGCACCCACTGAACTTATAATCCATTAGGTTTATCTCTATTCTCCATGAGGGCAAGAAGGCCTCGTAAACTTGCCTTATCTTGGAATAGTAATTACACACGGAGGCAAACATCTGCTATGGCAGAACATTTGGAAGTGCAAGATTCCAATACTCATCGCCTTAACCAGTTCAGTACACTGAGTTTTTCAAAACAAAGCTGAGATAACCTTCTAATCTAAGCTCAAAGACATATGTATCAACTTCATCTCCACCTGTTGCATGTCTGCAGCTACTGGAAGTCCCAAGTCATTCAATGGATGCCAACTTCTTGTATATTGTATCAAAGCAACATTTCATGAAGACCTCTACAGCCTGGTGGCTACTCATTCTTGTTCTACACCTTTTGTTCAGATCTGGACAAGGAATAAACCTCACCAGGCTGATGCTTTATAAACACTGTAACAGACGGGCTCTACCATAAAAGTACATATCACGGTTGACATGATAACAATTTGACAGGCTGAAGAGAATTTGGATCCTGCATCGAAAAGACAAAGTGTAGTGTCAATCTGACCACAAGACAGGTTCAATCATCCATGTACTCTAAACAGGATATCCCTTAACACAACAACTGTATATATCACTTGCATGACTTTTGTACCACTGACTTACAGATTCAATGCTTCGAAAGACTTGACAGAGTAGAGAGGGTTGCTTGGATCTTTCCTCAGGATCTCAATGTCATTTTTTGTCTTGACTAACTGGTTCCGCAGCAACTTCCGCAGATAGGATTCATCCTCCTTGGTCGTCACTGAAACAGACACACAGCCATTATAATTTACATAACACATCATTATTCAATTATCCACCTGAGTCAATGTAAATTCCAACATGACCTAGATTATATCCTGCTGTAACTGCAACTTTCCACTCTACTGAGGTGTGGTGAGGTGAGGTGAGGTGAGGTGAGGTGAGGTGAGGTGAGGTGAGGTGAGGTGTGGTGTGGTGTGGTGGTGGGTGTGGTGAGGTGAGGTGAGGTGAGGTGAGGTGAGGTGAGGTGAGGTGAGGTGGTGAGGTGAGGTGAGGACAAATGGGGTTTAACGTTGCACTTAAGAAAATATCGCTCATATGAGGACGTTCATGCGTGTGTATGTGTGACTGAGTTCAGCTGTTTTTATAGTGCTAGTCCCCTGAGATACCACGCCGCAGTTAAGCATGAATACCCCACTCAGACACATTATGCTGACTCCGAGCTGACCAGTCCTTGTACGCATTAATGCCGAGCGCCAGGCAGGGACCTACAAGTACCATATTATAAAGTCTTTTGGTATGAGGCGGACAGGGATCGAACCTGCGACGTTCCGCTCTCTGGGTGGACACTCTAACCACTACACCATGGAAGCGCTCCCATTCTACTGAGACTGGTAATACCCTTTCTTACTTATCAATTGGAATGTTTAGCTTCTGGAATATACATGTACTGGGCATTATCATGTTCTCTTCAATTTTGGTCAAGTCATCCCAACAATCACTTCTGCCAAGTGTTTGTCAGGAAACCAGGGAGGTAAAAATGACACTTCCCCTTACAATGTGGTCTCATTCACCTGATGAAGGGGCAAGGAAAAGCCCAGAAACATTTTGTATACAATAAAGAAGAAGTTGACATCCATAATATTTTGTCTTATACTTGAATACCAACTTCTATGTTCCTTTCAAAATCTCTTTCACCATTTATTTGTACTGTCTTCTGGTGTTCCCCACCGTGATATTGCTGGAATATTGCTAAAAGCGGTAAAACTAAACTCACTCACTCACTATGATTACCGTATGGTATTGTTCAAGTTGTGATCCTATCCTGACTTTGCAAAAGATTCCCAACACATGGGGTGATTAGTGTACCTGGATGCCAACAGGGTGGGAACATGCACTGAACTTTGTCTGTGACTGGTGGAGGGGGGATCACTGCACCAGCCCACCTGTAATGCTCACAGTCAAAGTGTACCTTTCTCTTCCGTAGCTTCCTCGGCTGCTTTTGCTGCAGCTTGAGCTGGTTGTGCTGGCGTGTCTGCCGGTTGTGCGGAAGTGTCTGCTGAGTTCCCTGACGTGTCTGCTGCTTTTAATATAGGGTCTATGTTGGTAGTTCCAGGTTTACTTGTACTATTAGATGCTTGAGTATTGGCAGATTCATTCTTGTTGATGGCTAGTTTTTCTACCTGTGAAAACACAAAACACAAATCACTTGACTTGGACAAGCCTGGCATGGCATACTCATGGCTCATCACAAACATCAAACTCTTCACTTAAAAGCACAATGTCACACATTTTCAACAATATCTTGGCCTATATCATATATTGGGGCATATGCACTTACTCTACCTTCCTATTGATGCAATAAAAAGACTTATTATCCCTTACGACTTGCTGAAATCAATAATTGAAACTTCGAGGCGAATAGCTTCCAAACAGAGAATGCTTGCCATATATGGAATGTAAACAACCTCTCCTTACATAGTAAACTGTCACACACGGTGTTATCGTTGTTTGCCAAAGTGTTTTCAATAACAAGTTGTGCGTAGGATATTCGTAAAGAGTGCTGCAAGGGACATAACTCTATGGGGTTCGCTTGAAATTATGCTCGCCTGGTAGAGTCGATTTAATGCAATGTTGCATGAATTGAATTGCAGTAATCCGTACTTTTGAATGTAAGATAGTAATCTAAATATGTAGTTGTTTGGGGAATAAATCATATGGTAGCTTCCCTGAGGAATGATGGTATTATTGAGAGAAATACATGATATATTTTTAGAGAGGTGTTGTGTGATATAGTGCCTTTAATACTCAGGGCTCGATTTAAGAGATATTGACTTACTTGCACTGGGTGCAACCTAAGATAAAAACCTACTTGCACCAGCCCAATTCCAGCTGCACTGCTTTTATTGGAATATGTAATGAAAGAAATATGCTATGAATTATTTAGATGTTTTATTCAGAGGTTTACCCACTCATAATTGACTTGCACCTGGTGCAAGTTAGACTAATAACAAGGTTGCACTTTGTAATATTAGGTTGCACCAGTGCAAGTATCAAAGCACTAACTCGAGCCCTGATACTACTCTATAAACTCTGCCATGGAGTATCCTTTAAGAGTTATCTTAATATGGATGAAAGTGGAGAAGATTTAGTAGTGACTCTACCTGACCAGCCAGGCCCTTCTCTTGGGCATCAACTTCATCTCCCCAGTCAGCCATTGCTGCTCCTCTACCTGCAACAGTTACAGGACAATGCTCAGCTCAGGTGAGGTGAAGTGAAATTGGGTTTTACGTTGTGCTTGAGAATATTTCGCTCATATGATGATGTGCATGCGTGTGCATGTGTATGTGCGGGTGCTTGTACTAGCCCAGACTGAAGCTAGTTTTATAGTGCTAGCCCACTGAGATACCATACCGCAGTGAAGCATGAATACCCCACACAGACACATTATACTGACTCCGAGCTGACCAGTCCTTGTTGTACCCATTAATGCCGAGCGCCAGGCAGGGACCAACAAGTACCATATTTTAAAGTCTTTTGGTATGACGCGGTCGGGGATCAAACCCGCGACCTTCCGCTCTCCGAGCGGACGCTCTAACCACTACACCACGGAGGCGGTCCTGCTCAGCTCAGACAGACAGGCTTGGACAAATACTTCACCAAATACAATGTTAGCAGTGTATCATGATCCACTCTGAAGAACTGCTGAACATGTGAAGAGATATGGAGGATCATGAGTGTGGGTTTTGTGAAATATATTTAAGGAGGACCCTGGATTCAAAAAGTATCAATGTTAACATCATGGATACAGGACACATAACTTTGATTTTCAGGCTTTGTTTGAATGAGAGCCAATGCCAGATTTACTTACAATACATGTAATATGTAGGTAGCACTACTATCAGTTCACAAAGTTCATCTTAAAATTTCTGATCTAGAGCTGTTCTGTTTGTTTGTTTTAACATTGCACTCAGCAATAGTCGAGCTATATGGTGGTGATCTTAACCAGACAAATCAGTGATCAACAGCATGAGCATCGATTTACACAATTGGGATACGATGACACGAGTCAACCAAGTCAGCCAGTGTTACCACCCAATCTCATGTGAAGACCAATTCTAACCCGGATCTTCACAGGTATCTTCTTAATGGCCAGGTGTACCTGTATATATATTATTATTGGCAATTGTTTGTCAGATTATTTGTGCATGTAAATTATGACATGAGCATATCTCCACGTTTGACTCACAACTCACTGAACTCAGTCATTTTTGGAGAACAATCGATGCAATATATCCTTCCCTGGTCTCCCAATTCCTAAATTGATGAAACATCACATCAGCAACGATCTTTTTCCAAATCATGTGAGCAGAACTATAGTCATCTAATGTTAACCAATCCAATTCTAGTATTCTCCATAGACGGTTTGAGAAACATGTCAAATCAAAGCTCAAACACATCCACATTTTTTGTGTGGAAATCATGACCATTTCAATACTATTCCAAAGGATTTTTTAAGGGTACCTAACCCTAGGTATTATACGAGTTGTTTGACTGACAAGGGATTGTGAATGGTAGGTTAATAAGATAGAGGTACCTTACAATATGATTGTAAAGGGTGTTTCATTAGAAAAGGGCTCTGAAGGCTATGGCCAGTATTGGTACAATGTGTGAAGCCCATTTCTGTTGTCCCCTGCCATGATATTGCTGGAATATTGCTAAAAGTGGCGTAAAACCATACTCACTCACTCTGAAGGCTAAGGATGTAGCAAGTGAGAGCAAGTAGATGAGATCAAATTTAGAATTGCTCAGGTTCAGAATCACTGAGCTCACTGGGGTTCCTTTTCATATATCTATGCACAGACTTAACATGAGCCTAGCAATCCACTTGCAAGACATTCCACAAGTGAGAGCCAGCTCATTTCAATATTGCATCACAGGTATAATCAATATCAGAATGACTCATATCTAAAATTACAATCATATAGTTTCTCATTTGCTTTAAATCATCTCTTAATTGTTAATTGTGTGATCAGCATTTCAGAAGTTGGTTCATGCTTCATCTTTCAATCAATTCTCATCGATCAAGGAACATAATTCTCAGATAAAACTCTCAGATAATGGCATCAGGAGTTGAATTTTTTTTTTTTTAAAACTCCACTGGACACAGGTCCAGTAAACTTTCAAAAATCCACATGACCAAATATTGATTTCACTTGAGCTCAGCTAACAATTTGGATTTCTTTGGTAAATAATCTTTATCAATTATAAACAACAGACAATTGCATTTTATTTCATCATCAAAATACATATTATCAAAACATTTCAGTAGTTTTGCACTACTGTACCACAGTAAGGGTTAATGTGGATATTGACCTGACCGACCAGAGAATTCCACTCGACCAAGGCGTCGGGCAATGGTATTTTTCAACCCCTGGGCATGTCCCAATAAGTAAATGGATAAAAAAAGTATACTCTTATAAGAGCTTAGACTGATAACAATTGGTGTTTCTAAAAGCGAAGAACAGCTGTAAATTCAAACCCTATTTTTTATCGTCCTGGTGAAGTTATTGCCAATAATCATAAACTGATGTGGTATTTCACTCGCCACAAAAACTGATCGGTATTTACCTATGGCAGATTTTAGTTTCTTCAACTTTCATTTTTATTAGCCGTCGATTTTATCACCAACACCAGAGATCGTTTAGCATGTTTCCCTTGACAAACGTCCACTGCGTTCATAGATATCCTCGTCAGGGTATGTTTCTATTGTATTATCTATAAGACGTAAAATGGGTTTTTCCGTTCATCAAAACTCAAACTGACATCATTCATAAGTCCACAGGTTATGTCCAAACAGTGAATGTGAAAGACTGAAACGGAGCTTAATGTAAGTAATATTACAGTAGTGTCTAAAATCTTCAGTAATCCACGGGGCCCCATCCACGGTATTGCCATTATATCCTAGAATCAAATCGGTTATTATTATTTAAAACATAAAGATTACATACTTTCTTTTCACTTAGTCTTCCTTTCCGCACGCCGGGAACGAAAAACTACTTTCCTAATAATTTGTTAACATGCTACAAGAAATGTAGATTACATTTATACCTATTCGTGAGTTCTTCTGTATTGAATATCTATTAATGTGTTTTAACTTGCGATAGGCATCTTATATAAACATAAAATATATTTATATAGTAACATATGATATTGTTATATTTTCGTTTCCAAATGAAAATATGTCGTACGTGTACCTGTATCGGAAGCGCAACAAACAAGCTCCTTACAGCGAAAGCACATTCGCGGAGCTCTCTTGCCACCAGTGCTCCCTCCTACTGGGCCATGCGGCTGTACATGGCATCGAACTAGCCGTTATATATCAAGATTCTTTGCTCAGAATACAAGGCCTCTGTCCCAGAAAACATGTGTAGATAAATTTGGTCAATTAAATTCCATATCGTAACACAACATAGATGCATGACACACACATAATCACAATCCACATTTCACCAGAGCATTAGCCTATAAACGTCATACGCAATTTTCACGTGGGAAATTAAAAAACAATACACAATAATAACAATACAAAAAAAACAGTACATAGCACTCAGAAAAATCTCCTTATTTAGATATTACAAGTTAAAGTAATTCAGAAGAAGCCTGATTTACCCTCCTAAAAGTACAAGAGACAGGTGGTTGTATCCCCTTAACTGTTAAATATGAAAGCGCCTAGCATCTGTACACAGATATACAAAGCTAAGGATTCTGAAATTCTACTGTCAGTCATTACTTTCACATACACTACATAACTTGCTTGCACAAGTTGCTTGTAGCCTTTTCTTACAAATACTGAAAAAGTGGGAATCATCTCCAGCCCGTTGTTCAAGACATACTTAAAGGTCACATGCAACCAAAAAATCAAACATAATTAAAACACAATTATCACTTCTTCATTACATATAATATGCATTGCTGATTATGAAAAAACAAATAAACAAAATTATAAGCGTATAATCGCAAATCAAAAGTGCAATATTTTGTACTTGGGTTTACCTCCCTCGAAACGAAGCAGCCGGGATACCGAACCCAGTCAGAGCGGGTGGGTGTGCACTCAAGTGTAACGGCTGGTTCATTTGCAGATGCCGCCCTCACAGCTCATTGTGTGTGTATATATAGAGATGTTGGGTTTTGTAAATACATGCTCATTTTTTGTGTATAACATTTTGCAATCAACAGACATCATAACATGTCATGTGTTCAAGTATCACACCTGCCTGTCTGTGTAATTACATAATGTGACAGAGACCGAACTCGGGCCATAAATCAATGCATTTTGTTTATGGTGTATAGCCTGATTGGTGTTAAGTTCAAATTGCATGTGGTCAGTGATCGCAGTTGTGTATTGAATATTGTCATTAGCAGACAGGCAGGCAGACACACAGGTGTCAATAAAACAAGACATTGAGTTTAGTCTGTGACAACGACATATCTATATCACAGTTAGAAATTCTGTCAACGCTAAATAATGACATTGCTTTTAAGTATCGAACTGAGAAAGTGACTCAGTAAGAAGAACGTGTGGTGAAATAGACAAATGAAATTATATAAACAGTTAATCTACTGTCATAACATATAAAAAGCTCGCGCCTGTGAGATATCAACAAAACATTATGAAAACAGCTCACACCAAAGCCTTCACCGAGTATTCACCAGACAGCCCGCTTCCAAGTTGCGCGAACCTATTTCACTGCGCACATGCTATGAGCGCAACCCAGCTGTTGAAACCCGTTTTCGGGGGAAAATTAGTGAATCGTTTGAACTCCGATTTCGCGCGGTTTTTTTCATCGCGTTATTTTTCAACTTTATAACTTGAATTTGCATTTTTGATGATTTGTTTCGGTACGTCCATACCGAAAGGTATCATAATCTGCAAAGTTGTGTTTTACGTTGCATGTGACCTTAAACCGAAGTCAAATGTATGTAACAAATATTTCAAACTTGTTTCCCATGCAGAAGTACAATTCATCAAGCTGATACAACTCAGATAGCGGACTTGGGATATCTTGTTGTGGGCATGTATACAACTTAAAAAATATATTTTAAGACACAGAATATATACGATATATGTGGAGGATACCCCCCTTGCTTCCTTAAATAAAGTGCGATGTACATTTTCAATAACCTTGAAACTTTGAAAACCACAAACACATGAAGCATACGATGACATTATATATCATTTTGTAATAAAATATACTTAACAACTACTACTGTACACTATTAAATGCTTTGGAAAAATCTATCAACAGACAATAGCAGCATCCTTTGAAAAACAGTTTTGAACCGAGGATTGCAGAACACATTTGTTGTCTGTTGTGCTGTAACCGTTTCTATAACCAGAACTTATTTTCTGTTTCGCATCCGTCAGAGAGCCCATTGTGTAATATTTTAGTAAACGTTTTCCCAATTACGGACAACAGAAAAATTCGCCGATAAGACTTAGTGTTAGATTCTGGTCTTTCGCCATTTTTATGAAAGGGACTGTTATCACCTCCTCCTATGCAGAAGGGAAAACCGAATTTGACAATATTTGATCAAACTACATGTGGAAGTATGGTAACAGTAAGTGAACTGCACTTTTCAAATGTCCATCTAAATTCCAGCAGGCCCTGTTGCCTTACCACTGGGGAGGTCATTAATAACAGTACACACCTCTTCCATGGTACACGACCCTGTGTAAGCTGCTGTCGTTGCTGCTGAGTTATCAGAGTCTGTGAGAAACTTTCTAACATATACATTGTAGATGGGAATCACGGCCAATGTCCAATTTGCTTCTATTAGGTAATAATTAAATCTGTTCACACCACTCTTCTGCCATGACTGCTTCACAGGAGGATTGAGTGAGTGAGTGAGTGAGTTTAGTTTTACTCCACACTCAGCAATATTCCAGCTATAGGGCGGCGTCTGTAAATAATCGAGTCTGGACCAGACAATCCAGTTTTCAACATTATGAGCATCGATCTACAAAATTGGGATACGATGACATGTGTCAACCAAGTCAGCGAGCCTGACCACCCGATCCCGTTAGTCGCCTCCTTCGACAAGCATGGGTTGCCGAAGACCAATTGTAACCCGGATGTTCACGTGTACACAGTCGGACTGACCTTGTCTGATAATGTTTTCAACAAACCTCCGCAGCTCCTGTGTTGACAAACCTTTGCTGGACCCTATGTTTACAACAGCTGGTTTATCATATATCATATTCTGTCTCTTTAAGGTGCCTATGTTTTTATATCATTTCCTCGATTTTCTAAACATCTTATAATCGAGATTAGAACTGAATGCCCCAAACCTGTTGAAACACTTTACGTTTGATGCTTGAACATTTCACATTCATAATCCCATCATTTGGGCCGCGGGAGGGTCCGACAAAACCTACCATATGATACATGCTACGTGAGGTCACGGAGTCACAACTTCCGGTACGTCACGTACAGCAGCAGTAATGTCATCACTATCAACATTCTTCAACTACAGCTCACCATTGCTACTGACTTTACCCGCTTGGTTGTCAACAGGGTACCCAGGTGAGGTCGGTACCTGAGCCTCCTCTATGGGTTCAGCTGCTAGGTGGTCAACAGGGTACCCAGGTGAGGTCGGCACCTGAGCCTCCTCCATGGGTTCAGCTGCTAGGTGGTCAACAGGGTACCCAGGTGAGGTCGCCACCTGAGCCTCCTCCATGGGTTCAACTACTAGGTGGGCAACAGACAAGGTACCCAGGTGAGGTCGGCACCTAAGCCTCCGCCATGGGTTCAACTACTAGGTGGTCAACAGAAAAGGTACCCAGGTGAGGTCAGCACCTGAGTCTCCTCCATGGGTTCAGCTGCTAGGTGGTCAACAGGGTACCCAGGTGAGGTCGCCACCTGAGCCTCCTCCATGGGTTCAACTACTAGGTGGTCAACAGGGTACCCAGGTGAGGTCGGCACCTGAGTCTCCTCCATGGGTTCATGTGCTAGGTGGTCAACAGGGTACCCAGGTGAGGTCGGCACCTGAGCCTCCTCCATAGTTTCAGCTGCTAGGTGGTCAACAGGGTACCCAGGTGAGGTCGGCACCTTAGTCTCTTCCATGGGTTCAGCTGCTTAGTGCTCAACAAGGTACCCAGCCGAGGTCGGCACCTAAGCCTCCTCCATGGGTTCAGCTGCTAGGTGGGCAACAGACAAGGTACCCAGGTGAGGTCGGCACCTGAGCCTCTTCCATGGGTTCAGCTGCTAGGTGGGCAACAGACAAGGTACCCAGGTGAGGTCAGCACCTAAGCCTCCTCCATGGGTTCAGCTGCTAGGTGGGCAACAGAGAAGGTACCCAGGTGAGGTCGGCACCTGAGCCTCCTCCATGGGTTCAGCTGCTAGGTGGGCAACAGAGAGGGTACCCAGGTGAGGTCAGCACCTAAGCCTCCGCCATGGGTTCAGCTACTAGGTGGTCAACAGACAAGGCACCCAGGTGATGTCGGCACCTGAGCCTCCTCCATGGGTTCAGCTGGTGGTGGTCAACAGAGAGGGTACCCAGGTGAGGTTGACACCTGAACCTCTTCCATGGGTTCAGCTGCTAGTTGGTCAACAGAGAAGGTACCCAGGTGAGGTCGGCATCTGAACCTCCTCCATGGGTTCAGCTGCTAGGTGGTCAAGAGACAAGGTACCTAGGTGAGGTCGGTACCTGAGTCTCCTCCATGGGTTCAGCTGCTAGGTGGGCAACAGACAAGGTACCCAGCTGAGGTCGGCACC